CGGTGTGTGTCTCGTGTGCACGAGAGTCGTACCTTCAGCTTCCACGAAGGAATGGCGTCGAAGGAATCTCTGTCAGTAGCTGAATAAGCGAGGACGCAGGCATGGGCGCCGCGATAATAAGCCGCGGTGATTGCGTCGAATTCCTCCTGACCTGCAGTATCCCAAAGCATCAGTCTTACGTCCTCGCCGTCCACCCTGTGGGACACAACGAAACGTTTAGAATACTTTTTTCCTTATTTGGGGGGGGGGGGGGATATACACATAGGTACGTGAAAAAAAAATCGATTTCTTTTCTTTTTTTTAAATATCTTGATATCGCTTAATATGTGAAGAATGCTTTCCCAACATTCGGGACGGAAATTCGTAGAAACATCGAAGATACAGACATTTGAAGTGAAGTATGCTCACGTGTTGCCAAAGCGACAGCAGAAGGAACATTGAACGTGTATAATAATTCTACTCTGCTAAATGTAATTCGTTCGAATTTACGAAAACTTGAGGAAAGAAGAAATGTTACAGCGACGTGTTTAGTGGTTTCAACTAAAACAATATCGACAGCTTGAATACAGTAGGATCTCAATAGTTGTGCGAAAACGAGGCTGAAAAATGCAAATAAGCATCGAGGTTCGTGTAATTAACGAGGTAACCTATCTGTCCCATGAGACCTCCCACTTATGAGACTAAAATCCACGCTTCCCCTTCTCCTATCGCACTTCATTTTGTTTACTCGTAACTAAGTAACGATCCCCACCATCTGTTGGTGGAATGTAACAGTCGGGATCGCTTGCAACTATCGAGATTCTACTGTAATTTAATTCGGAAAATCGCTAAAAAAATTTATGCAGGTTATGTTGTTGCCTGCATCTTTAACCAAGGCATAACATCTTTATTGCAATTTTTACAAATTTCGTATACATCTGTGGATCCAAATGCTCATAGATCTGTGTTTAAAGAAAACGAGCATCGAAGATATGACAGAACATCGCGCAGAGAGGTTGCTTGAACATTGTTACGCGTCCAGTGAAAATCTTCACGCTGTCCCAATATTGCAGTGTTCAGTTTTGCGTGTCGAGTCACGTCGGCTCGTTTCCTGAACTGGCAACTCGCACAGATGATTTACAACGCGCTACAGAGCTCCTGAAAACCCACTAGACGCTGCATACACTGTTTCATAAACCACGCCACGATGAAATGATTTACGCGTTACGGCTTTTGAAATCGCTTTAGTGTGCCACTATGATCGTGCTCACTTGGGAGTTTCTGTGACTTAGATTTAATTCGATAGCCGTTATACGTCATTATCCCGGTATTTTAATTGGAAGATTATGCACGTTTTTTTTTTTGTTCTTCTTTGCCGTCGTTAGCGTGTTTTTCTTAGTGAAAATGTTACAGAGAGTTATTTCACGGTAGAGGTGTGTTTGAAAAACGAAATGTGAGATCGGCCGTTCTAGATAACGATGACGAAGAACGAACGGTCTGGTTAACCGGGATAATACGAAAACGATAGAGCAACAAACTCCTCTTTTTTTTTCGTTTCTTTTTACAATATCACGAGATGTAAATCGCTATATAAAATCACGTGATCGGGAGAATGCGTGTACGGGACCTTGTGGTTTATCGTTAAGTATTTCTCGACTCGAATGTGCATATATATGCGAATTAAATAAATTCAGATGAAATGCTGACGTGATCAAGGGCAGTGGTAGCGGTACACCGTACTTAAAATAACCGATGCATATATGCATGAACCTACAAAGTTCTCTTTCTTTTTCTCTCTCTCTTGAAAATACCACTGAAATGTATGTATACTTATGTATATCGAGGAAGGCCTTATAAATCGTATCGATGTTTTGCAAATGAAAACGCGGCAAAACCCACGGTCTGACTTAAAATAACTCGATCTACTTAAGAAGCGTGAAAAGGGAAAAGAGAAAACTCTCGACCGCGTTTCTCCCAAATGAACTCATAAGTTTGCGCGAGATCAAGCGTTCCGTTATTCGATTCAACGAATTCATTCATCGTTCCACACAGATGTGTACAGTTATCGCGTTTTCATTGATGTGAATGTGGATCGACGATTTAAAAGTACTCTGTCCGGACCGATGCTGTTTGACTTGTAAAAATATCCCAACGATTACTTATTAAGCGTGTCACGGTTCGTTGTAACTAGTCTCGTTACCGGATCCCCTGCTAATCGATTCGCCGATTTCGCCTTTTATTTTCGAGCGTTCGAGCCGAAGGGAAAGGAGACGCAAAAAAAAGGTACTTCCCTTCTTAAAAAGGCGACCACGATTACCGACGGGGCAAAAGTGCATCAGGAAGTATCCCACGATAGCTCGTGTGTCGGGAGACGAATAACACGCGCATTTCTCAGGGATTTAAAAACGCGTGCTCGGTTCTAGAATGGAAAAAGCCTCGGCCGAAACATCTGTTCGTTTGTTCAACGTAAAAAACGTGTTTGACTTGAAAAGAAAAAAAGAAAAAAGAAATACCACGAACGGAATTTCAATGGAAGCGAGCGAATCTTAAGCGAATTTTAAAATGAAAATATGTAATACGATGCACCGTAAATTCTGTAATTTATGTTAATAGAACGTAGAAGAGAAAGAAAGAAAACCGTCCTGTAGAATATTACAAGGAGGATAAAGTTAAAGTGAAAATAGTTTCTCTTTAATTAGCAATCGAAGGAATAATGGCGTGTACCGTGAACTTCATTAAACAGATCTAATAACGGAGGTTTAATTAGACAGTCCACTTTACGATCGAGTAGTCGAGGCGAAAAAAAACCGATTGGAAAAAAATCTCTAGCTACCAGGTTTGTCGGTCTCTTACCAGAAAATGATAAAACGACGTCTAAGAGTAGAACGTCCTCTTGCCTGCAGAATGTAATTAACTCGAAGAACGTTATTACGTATACCGGGCAGAGAATATGCCTATTATACATTCTTCTTTAACACGGTCTTTAATTATCGACCGACGACGACTTACTGTTCCTTATCTTCCTATACTTTTAGCAGCGTGAAAACGATTTTTTTTCTTTTTTTACCACGGATATTAATATTCCCACCGTTCGTGGGATATTTTTTTTTGATCGACATTGGACAAGAGCACGAAAATCAGGCTGCTTAGAAACAAATATCGAGAGCTTCTTCTTTACGATTCTTCGGTCAGGTACAGCCGTACTCGTGCGTACGTAGTAGCATGATTAATCGGAGCATTCACTTCGATCGTACACTTTTACTTTTTGCAAGGAAAATTGTTCCAGTGCCGTTGATAATTTGCATAAGCAAATAAGTAAATAAATGTAGAGCAACTGGTTGGTAAAGAGAAATTTAAGGAGATTCCATCATGCGTTTCATATACGAACAATGTGTTTATACGCGAAAGGACCGTGCGAATACGTGAAAAAATTCAACGAGGAATTTTCTCGAGGTTAGCGAGATTGAATCAAAAATCTTTTCACCAGCCAAACAACTCTTTATTATACCAGGCAGCTCGAAACTCGTTCGAACGGATTTTTCTTGATTAACCAATGAAGATTCCGCGATAATCCGATTACGGTAAAAAGAAAGGCTATCGACAGGATCGGTTCTTCGGTATTTTTTAGATATTAAATGTAGAATCGTTTAATCTATATTGTTTAATCTATATCGCCATCTACCGTCGTTTTATCCGTAACATTAGCTTTAATCAAAAATGAGAAAATTACATTAAAACGCTTTCCCAGTAAATATTATAAATTTTTTTTTTATACTTACTCGATCTCCCGTTCCAAAAAATCGACGCCGATCGTCTTCTTGTAGTCTCTCGTGTAAGTACCTTTGCAAAACCTTTGGATCATCGACGATTTCCCAACAGCTCCGTTACCGACTATCACCACCTATAAAAAAAGGAAGAAAAAAAAGAATAGTTCCATATATATATCTCACGATTCTATCGATCAAAACTTGTATCATTGACATCGATAAATCGTTTCGTTAGGAACGATGTATCGGTACTATCCATCATTACGGGCAATTTCGAATTCAACAGAGGCTAGCGTGCGTATATGCGCGCGATCATCTGGAAGGTGGACTTTCTAAAACCTGTAGGTCGAGACGAGCAAGAAAGAGCATAGATCCTGTAGTTAATTTCTCGCGCAACTTTCCTGCCAACCCATTATGAGACGACGATCGACTAAAAGTAGTCGAATGTTTGTTCAGTGGCACGAATATCGAGACAAATCGATCTAAAAAACTAACCTAAACTAAAAAGTGTAATAACGGTAAAAAGCGATAATAATGATAACATTAACAAAAGTAAGAATAATGATATTAGTATAATACAAATACTATTATCGAGAGAAGAATAGTAATTGCATACGAATAATTCGTTCTTTATCACGTCAGGATTTGACTAATGGTTATTTCGTTACCGAGGTTAGGTTTCACTGATCGAAATAATCGAACTATTATTCGATCAGAGAAACACAAGAAGAACGTTTTGAATAGGTAGATAAAGGAAGCAATCGATAAGAACGTCGTAAGGAAACGTCGCTTTTCAACCCGAGATTATAAAACACGTATCCGCGATATTGTCAAGGATTGAAGTTCGTTACGAAGCATATGAAATTGCCTCGCTCCTGACAGCAGTATATCGAACGATTTCCAGTGCGATTCAACGTCGTTTTTTAATAGGATGATGTAGCATCGTATGGTGGAATCATATTATTAATTCATCATTATTATCTAAAGTCAATCGAACAGTTATGATGTACAGTAATGATATTGTATATGAGCCGAAACTTTTGTGTGCAACTGCGATTTAACCTCATTTCCGTGATTTTGAACAGAAGACCAAAGAGACTCCTCCTGTTCACGTATTAATGCAACCACAATAGTGGATAATCTTCTGAACAGGATTATCGATAAAACAGGAATCGTTAGCCCTTACGAGTATTAATACAGGAAACATGGAGATGTGAAATAAGAAGGGAAGAAAGCTAATTAAATTGTGTGCGAATGCTTTTTATGATTTCAGGTTGATTAACAGTTTTTCATGTACAGTTACTGCCCGGTTATAATTTCAGGCAAAGAAAAAGAGGAAGCGCTTAATTATGAACCCATTCTCACCGATATCATAGGTGTGCCATCATTTTTCGTCGATTATGTAAGATATTACTGTTAACGTTAAATTAAGCAGTTTCACGCGCGACACCATCGATGAACATTTTAGAAGAATCGTCGAGGTGTCACTTAAAATATAAATTTCAATATTAACTTTTTTTTAAAAGCTTGTTCGACTGGTAGGTAGGGTATAAATATTCAAAGGAATACGATTCGATTTCTCGGAAGATGATATATTCCTTCGCGTGTAAAAATCACGAGAAATCGTGTTCACCAGGACATCGTAAATACCTTAAATAATTCTGCCAAAATTGAGATAACGGTCCACCTGAAGCGAGAAGTGGGTTAAGTCGATAAGGGCCCAAGTCCACGTGAACCGGTCCTCAACGATCGAGCTTCTGTCGGAACTTATGTATATGTATAGGAAGACCTATATGTATACCCTAATAAACATACCCAGTGTTTCTAAAATTAGGCATCATTTATCGAAGGTTGATTATATGAAAATTTCGATTTAAAATATACCCATGAAATTGTGGATGATTATTGAACAATTTCAAAAGTAGGTACTTCAGAATTTCTTTACGCAACTTACACGTTGAATGTTCTTTGTTTTAATACTACAATTTTGAGATGCTGTGACGGGCTGTTCAAGGTCGCAACATATACCTAATGTATTATAATTTGTTGGCAATTTTTCGAAACGTCGGATATCACGTGTACTTAACCTAACGAACGGTTATTAGAATTTCAAGAAGAAAAACATAGCTAGGGGACGTCAAGGACATTCCAAGGTCATTTACGTTTTTTAGCGAAAATCGCAATTCTTTCGATAATTTTCCTTGATGCTAAAATTGTAACGTACATGTATGTATAAAAAATATGAAAAGGATCGATTTGATCGTTCCAAGGACATGATTGATAGTACGCCACACATTAAATAATTCACGAAAAAAGATACGAGATATTAACAAATGATATAAGGACTTCACCTTATTGTTAGTAGTAGAAAATAAATAAATCAATGGAATGCTGTACAATCGTTTAGTAGATATTATCGCACAGCTTGGGGAAAGAATTTCATATTGTACTAGATTGGAAGAAGGATCACCGTAATGTACGAACATTCTTGGGACTTTTTTATAGCCTCGTAAACGGATGAGCTTTCACAGGAAATATGCCGATCGGGAATACCGTTTTTCATATTAATGTTGTCGAAATAAACGGAATTCGTGGTTATTAATCAAGGTGCGGTTCAGTTTCTATTAATAATATCTGGAATCTACCATAAGCGTCTTCGACTAATTCAAACCATTACATCATTGAATCAACGATCTTCGTTACATCTCCGTTCGGGTTCGCTTAATTGCAATTTCCAGCCGCGATTCGAACACGCTTATTGAAGACGAGCAGTATACTAATTAAACCGGTGTATGTTAATCGTGTGAATTTCTCGAGCAACCTAATCCTCTCTTCCCAATTTCATCCACGACCGATAATAGCATTCTTTCGAACTTTAAAGCAAACTTTAATAAATAATCCTGGAAAGAGTAAAATATAACTTGCATTTCTAATTTCACCACGACGATACTAATTGTTACAAAAATGTAACAACGAATAGAGTGGACTGTGAAAATTTATCAAATACTCGATTAACAGGTTCGCTGCCACCGACGCAGCATATGCGGTTCGTAATGTATTGCCCAGCGTGCTATCGATTTTTTGGTGGCAGCGAACATGTTGAAAGGCTCGAACAAAGTGTTTAAATTTCTTTCTTATTTGAATAAGAAATCATCGCATTCCAAATACACAAATGAATTCATTCACATTTACAAAACATTACTTATAATAACAGTATATAAGCATTAACCCTGATATTCACGTGAATCTTAGTGACTATTAATAAAATTAACCAGTTATGATTAACGCTAATAATTGTGGCTAATAATATGATTTTCAAAGGCATAATTTCCAAGTGAATAATTTCACTTGGACAACGTCAAACATGAATTACTGAATAAATGGTCTGTTATCTATTATCTAATTAATGGGGAAAAAAGTGTTAACATGAAGTAACCTTAAACATGCGCGAACGTCCTATTCAGGAGAGTATTAATTTTGCTGCATATTTCTATACAACGAAATAAGATGTAAGAACGTACGCATACATGCGCTGGTTGTTCCAACTGCAGACAATAAGAACAGTAAAAGTAATACATGGTCTTACACGAGCACATGCCTATGAAAATGTAGTATGTACCGTTATAGCAATCGAAAGATAAACCACAATCATTGGAGCAGGACCAAATGATATTATATAAGTTTTTAAGTATATTAAAATCTGCGAGTATCTTTTTTTTACAATTATTAAAAGAAGAAAGATATTTTTCGATTCGTATTATTTATACATACTAATATCATTGCTTATTGATTAAAAAATTGGTAAAATTAATAAAATTCAACGTTATTGATTTTTTAAGTATTGTAAATTTTGAATACGTGGTCCTGTGACAACTGCCTTTTGCGCAAACGCTTTTGTTTTTTAAACGATGAATCACTTTGTGAAAATTAATTGCTACATAATAGTAATTAATGTGAATTTGTACTATTTCTCTATCTTTGTGTTCATAATTATTCTTATTATCTATCGTATTTTATTCGAGGAGAGATAAAAAATGAAAGGAACAAGTATGTGATTTCTAACCTATAGAACATTAGCCGGTTCGGTTGCGTATATACATATATATGATAATGCACATCTGTCACTGCGCATACGCATTTCCGAAACTTGATTTGAAACTTAACATAAACGTGGGTAAAATAGATTCAGTTGCAAAGTAATTAACTGTTAACATTCTAGAACATAATATCATTGTTTATATCTTCCATTTCAGAACAAAAAGCGTACATTTAAGTAAGAGTGGTTACGCTTCGTGTAAACAAGTAATCTACTTCCTTCTTATTGAGGAAAGTTAATGTATTCTAATACCCTTCAAAGCGCGCCAATTAAAGTTTCGCTTCGCATAAGTATAAAAAAGTACCACATATCATTATGATTCAGAAATATCGAAAAGGAAATGAAAATTAGATTTTTGATCACCTTGAGTGATATCTCGAGTTCTTCCTCCCGCATTCTGACCGTAACGTGATTAGCATAATATCCAGCTACAATATATCCTGCGATGCCTGCCGCTGATCTTTCGTGTGAAAATTTTACTCTTAGCAACGATCACCTTTCACGGTATTTCGAATCAATCACCTCACACCATGACCGAAACATTTTTACAGATTTCAAATAAAATTCACGTACGCTTTTTTTATGTACGCGATCAACATCGGTTAAATATTTTGTCGTGCAGAGAGAGCAACGTACGCACCGGACACGCGAATACGCGCCACTAGCCGACTGAACACCTGTACAAGACACCTGCCGAGACTAACTGTTTAGTAACTTTCTCTAGTAACATTTCTATTTCATATCAAGATCAATTGCCAACCATTGGAAAAAATTAAAAACGGAGAAAATATTTCGTCAGATCTTGATAAAGTTAAAAAGAATTATGTATCTTTCACGGATTTAAGAATTTACAATTCGAGTTCTTAATATCAGCTTTACTGAAACTAACACATAGAAGATTTACTTTTTAAATCATTATACTACTCCAGGAATTTGTGTAAAATTTTTATTCGAACTGTAATATATGCAGTAAATATATTTCATGCGACATATTTACAAATACATTAAAGCAGAGTATTATTGCCAAGTAATATACTTAGCAAATATTAAAAGTAACAAGTTATTAAAATAGTACATTTAACTTAATTTAATCAGTAAAATATAATTGGAAAGCAATTTTGTTTATATAAAAAAATACACACTATATATAGATATTTTAAAAATAGGGAGAAATGGTAAGGAATGTAAAAAATTACAAAGAAGGAAGTTAGAATTGCTTTTGTAATATTTTTAAACATGCGGTGTATGTATATGTATACATATATACGTATACGCATTCACATATATACATAAACATACGATATGAATATACATGTGCTATATATAGCTATATAACTAATATTTATGTATACTGTATATATGTATGCACACATATAAAATTATAAAGTTGTA